CCACATTTGGGCTACTGTATCCAGGCACAGAAACCTCTTTTACAGAAGGACATAGCTGCTCTGGAGAAAGTGCAACACTGGGCAACAAAAGTCATTCCAGAGCTAAGTCATCTCTCGTATCAGGAATGGTTGAGGGGCCACAGGCCTAACAACACTGCAAACCAGGCATGACAGGGCAGATCTCATTGAAACTTTTAAAATACTGAACAAGTTGGAGGATGTTGATCCTGACAAATTATTCAAAAGGTCAGATGCAACACAAACAAGGAGCAACGGTTTCAAGCTCAACAAACCTCAACGAAGGAATGAGAACAGGAGATGCTTTTTCACCCACAGGGTTATAAACCCATGGAACTATCTACCCACCAAAGCTGCAAAGGCCAAAACTCGGGTTAGGTTTTAAAATCCACCTTGGGGGTTTTCAGTACTGTAATTAATAAATAGTGTAAGTTTTAACTGGAGTTTATCTCTTCCATTGTCTAGAGTTAAGCCACCATCACCTAGACAGCAGTTTTTTATAAAGACCAAACCACATACCAGACGATGAAGAAATGACCAAAAGATCAGTTTTTTATATTGATTTGTGGGACTAATTTCCAGAGGGGCTGGGCCAAGCCTAACTCTTCTAAGTGGTTGTAACGAATGATTAAGTGTACGCTATTTGGTTGATTAGACACACAGACTTTAGTGGGTTAGATATTTATTTTAGTAGTCTTGGTTACAGCAGTCGGTTTGTTGACAGTGTAGTGAAATGTTGTAGGAGTTGAGAAGAAGCCTGGAGCAGGCCAGAGAGTCGAGTGAGGCCGGGGTTAGAGAGCTCGGATGCAGGGTGTGAGTTGTAGAGCGTGGTGCTCTGAATGCAGGCAGAGTCGAGGAGCTCGGTGTGGGATGAGAGCATGGAAGCTCGACGCGGACAGAGTCTGGCTTTGTGTCGAGGCTGAAGTATCTTATGAGGGTAGGAACAGGACATGCCAAGGGCTACATTATTGTTGGTGAATACTGAAGACGTGTGATATCTCTCAAGAATCTGTACTGAACCACTCTTGAAATTAGACTGATGATTATTATTCACTATTGGTTGCTTATATAATCGGTTCATACCTCACCTGATTAACCTCTAGTAGGTTAAGAAGAAGTATTAATTGTAATTAGGGAAGAGGTATGAATTGTAAATAGTGGACTAAGTAGAATTAACAAACCCATCTCATTTTCTGCACATAAGATAATGAGAATATGGAGCAAGTATATTACTGATATAATATACTTGCTACATAACTTCCCCTCCCAGTGGATGAAAGAAGAGAAATAAAACAAATATGAGAATATTGTTTCCCTGGGTTGCTTTACTATAAATCTTTGTGTTATCTGCAAATTTGATGATGTGGTTTGTAATATTCTCATCTATGCCTTTAATGTATTTGACAAAAAGGGTTTGCTCAAAAATGGACCCCAGATGTCACACATGTCTCCATTCAGAATTGGACCCATTTAGCATGACTTTTCTTTGTTTCAACCATTGTGTTATCCATTCAAGAATTTTACCATTTATTCCATGGGCCTGCAATTTCTTTGCCAATCTTTCATGTAGTACTTTGTCAAAAGCTTTAGCAAAATCCATGTATACTATCCAATGGAAATATTGTCTGAAGACAAAGATTGTTATAGTTCTGATAGCAGATTTTTTGCTGTGTGATGATGGGTTTGAGGTAATTTGCAGTGGATGAACCCTATGCACAAATACCATACACAAGATAGATTAGCAAGTAGTATAATGAGAGGAGAGCAGAGTGGGAACATAATACTGTATCTGATTTAAGAGGTATACAGACCGTTTTTGAAATTTTTTTGGCTGTGTGTTGTATGTATAGCCAAGGAACCTTTCCTCATTTTTTTTGATAATGTTAACATTGTATATCTGAAGTTAAATTTGATTTGATGATTTACTTCCAAATAAAATGTAGTAGGTCTTTTCTATGTTTAGTGTGAGTTTGTTAGTTGACATCCATGAGTAGATTTTTATAATTCATTGTTAACAGTATTATTTAGTGTGTGGGGTTGGGGTCTGAATAGATAAAGGTAGTATCATCAGAAAATAGTATAGATTTAAGAATGTTAGAAACATTTGGCAAATAATTGATGTATATAAGAAATAGAAGAGGTCCTAAGATGCTGCCCTGTGGCACTCCTACTGTTAATAGTAGAGTGGGGGAGGATAACTTCCTCAGTAGTTAATCGAGGGATATTTCGGTTTTCTTGTTTCCAATTATTACTTGGAGGATTGCGAGATTTGCTCTGCTATTTGTAGTCCTAGTGTACAGTGTCTCTGTACCCGTGTTTAAAAACATGGGAAGACCATGTACAACAGTTCTTTCCACAGTGGATAAAAATCAATAAATACAGTACAATACCTGGCATTAGAGCAGTGTCCTAGGTAGACTTGGGACCAGACTAAGGAAGCACCAAGGAAGTTTCTAAAATTTGAACGAATTTGAAGAAGCAATTTACAAGAACTATACTACTGCTATCTACAATGCTAATGATCATTTAGTTAAGTAATAAACCTGGTTATCATATTATTTATTATTATAATATAGAATAAGAAAATAATTACACATTTTTTATATTTAAATATGTGCAAAGACTTGTTTTATGATTTCCTATGAGAAAATATGAAAAAAATATGATAGTAGTCAGGAACTTGGAGGTCATACTGTATTGTGAGATACTAGAGTTATCACAGCTCTTAGCTCAACATTCATAATACAAAGCAGACAACAGGAAATTGGACATCAACAGATAATATCAGCTATCTATACAATATCACATATTCACTGAGGTCTGATTAACACATTTTTTGCCCTCTGTAATCCTTTTGCACTATTGCTCACAGGACGAGTCTGGAGGCATGCAATAAACTATCCACCGCTCATACCAACTATCAAACCCCATAGTCATAAACCCGTGGAACAGTCTACTCACTGAAGCTGTTACAACATAGCACTCTGCTTAAAAATAGGTTTAGAAAAATCATCAGACAAAATAGTGAACCACTTTACTAGTTATAAGTTTCCTGCTCTCAGTAAGCCCACTTTAGCTTCAAAAATTTTGTTTCTATTGTTAGGGGACAGGAAGCCTGTTAAGCTTATCAGGCCTACCTAACCAGTAAATGGCCTTTCCCTGGATGCAACCCACAACAGTTGGCTAACTTGCAGGCACCTCTATTTACTGCTAGGCGAACAGAAGTGTCAAGTATAAGAAAATGTTGCCAAACGTCTTGACCTGTTCAGGAGTCAAACCCAGAACCAATAGATTCTGAGTCACCTGCACTCACAATAGCACATCTATATGTTTTTGCACATGCAAGCATTTAACCCTCTTAATGTGGCTATTATTAAATTTTTATCACCTCACCTGTGTGGGGAAAATTGCTCTTTTAGAATAATACATTTGCATGCAGAATAAAATAGAATAAATATCTAAATCTGGTTTTGTGCACAGTAGGAGGTTGCCTTTTCCAATATGTGTGGCATTCTTTCCCTTTGTTTTCACTAAAATTTGGCTTAAAAATATGAAAGATCATAAATACTGATATGAATACGGGGTAATAGTACTTTACTAGACCCCCTTTTTATCCCATTCTCAAAGAAATTCTTTAGTATGCTCCTAACGAATATAAGAAATATTGCCGGAACAAAAACAGACATGTTCAAGAATCAATGCAGTATTTACAACCTGGACCAACTGGGTTGTAATGGATGTGTAAGCCAGTGGGGCCACTCCAATCAGCAACCTTTTTAGATCGAGTCATCACAAGTCAAGTCTAGCCCCAGCATGGGCTTTGGAAATAGAAGAACTCTCATAACCCATTCTAGGTAAGCAGTCTCTGTGGCGCAGAGGTAAAACACTAGCCTGGCGCTTTGGGAGCACTTTGGCCTAGGTTCATATCTTGGCCAGGGAGGATTGACTGGGCACCAATCATTAACTGTAGCCTCTGTTCATCCAGCAGTGAATGGGTACCTGTTTGTTAAACGATTGTTGGGTAGTATTCTGGGGAAAATTAGGATTAAGGACCTGCCCAAAATGCTATGTGTACTAGAGGCTTTACAAGAGTGTAAGAACTCTTGTACAATGGAACCTAGGTTGACGAATGCTCCTCTTTACGAATTTTTCAGAATACAAGGTCAATTTCCTCATAAAATTTGACTTGGTATTCGAATTTTGCCTCGGTTGTCGAGTTTGTTGATACAGTACTGTATATGTATTTGTTGATGAGCCCATGGTTCTGCTTGGTGCAGGGCGAGGCATGCTTAGTTTATCAGTGTATAACGCCTAGTAACGACAGCGCTTGAATTCTTTATGAAGAATTTCATTGTTTTATTGCTTTTTTGGTTTCAGAACATAAAGGTTCTTATTATATATCATGCCATGGGTCCCAAGAAAGTCAGTGGTAAAGTTCAACCAAAGAAAATAGTTGTCAGTATGACAATAAAAGAAAGACAAGACAACATTCATTGTGAATGAATGTGATGTCTCACCACAGACAAGTGGTGAAACATAGGGAAAAACAAGTGTCTATAGACAGAGTCTTAGTAAGACAAGCAAGCAGTAAGCTACAACCAAGTCCTAGTGGTATGCCTGCAAAACGTAGATGAGAGTGTACCCCAGAAATATCATCACTGCCTGATGTTATAATGGGATGGGACTCCCCTTCCAAACACTAAAACCTCTCCTCCCCTCCCCTCCCCCCCCTCCTCACCATCTTCCATACTCCAAAAAGAGTCCTCAATAAAGGTAAGGTACCTATGAGTAGTATTCTGTATAAAATGCATTTTTATGTTAATATTTTTGGGTGTGTGGAACGAATTAATTCAATTTACATTATTTCCTATGGGAAAATTTATTTCTGTTTTTGAATTTTCGGTGTATGAACCATCTCCTGGAACGGATTAAATTCGTAAACGAAGGGGCCGCAGTATAAATATAAAAAAAAAAAATGTGAAAAATAAAGGTACATTCTAGGTATCCTTGCTACAAGAGAGAGAATAAGAAGCAATGACAACTCTTAACAGTGTTGTTATTATATTTAAGTCCCTAGTGTATGAAACAATGTACTTACCTGGGTCATCCATCTGCTCAAAAGTGAAGTCGATGTTTTCGTAAGAGTTCCACGATGCAATAGCACAAGGAGACTTGTCACAGGAAACATTTGAAACTGTTCGTGGTCGTTCGTCCGGAGAATGAGTGAAATATAGCTCCACACTTCCATCAAGTGGGAACCGCATGTCTGATGGAGAAATTATTGAAGAAAGATTAACACTAAGGTAGATGCTTATAATACAAATATGAATATAATAAGAAATACTCTATAATGCAATCATTGAACATAATGACCATTAAATCATACTAAATAAACTCAGCACTATTGTTCATACTCTTAAATGTACACACAAACATCCTTATCAGCATCTACTGTATTTCAGTGTTTTAATTGACTTTCAGTATACTGTATTTCGGAGTTCATTCCATCAACTCAAACCTTGATCCTACCCATCTTTAAATCAGTCTTATATACTGAATATCTATTTCATTATTATTATATATTCAAAAGCAGTTCATACCTGATGCCTTTTTGTCTTAGAGAACTGTGTTTTATTGATGTGAGGTCTTGTGATCAATTTACCCCTAGACACCTCGAGTGCCTCCACATGTTTATGATATTAAAAGGTGCATTTATAATTTTTTATTAAGTATTTCACATGAATTTACCTGAAAGTATCTAATGAGAACAGTGATGCAGTTTTTATATACTTTTTACATTGAGAAGAATATATGAAAAGTAGGAGGATTTTCCTATCAACTATACAATTATATACTAATGAGAAAGTATATGTTAACAAAAAGAAAAGATTTAGCATATACTTATATACAATAAGCTGAATATGGGACTCATAAACTGCTTATGGTCTCCCATTACCAGGGAAAGTTTATCAATGTCCCAAAAGGCCAATGACTGACCTTTCCCAGGATTTGACCCCATAACATTTGTCTAATTTCCAGGTACCTATTTACTGTTTGGTGTATGTATGTATGTATGTATGTATGTATGTATGTATGTATGTATGTATGTATGTATGTATGTATGTATGTATGTATGTACAGTATGTATGTACAGTATGCATGTACAGTATGCATGTACAGTATGCATGTACAGTATGCATGTACAGTATGCATGTACAGTATGTATGTATGTATGTATGTATGTATGTATGTATGTATGTATGTATGTATGTATGTATGTATGTATGTAAGTATGTATGTATGTATGTATGTATGTATGTATGTATGTATGTATGTATGTATGAGAACAATTAATAATATTAATTGTATTATATTTACAATGCAATATTAATTGTATTGTATTAATATATTAATATATTAATAATAATAATAATAATAATAATAATAATAATAATAATAATAATAATAATAATTCATTGTGTCAGGGGACAGGCAACCAGTTTATACATACAGTACATGTTAGGCTTATATTTGTCCCCCAGGGTCGAATTATTGACACTCCCCAGGATGCAACCCCACAATAAGCTGAGTAACTCCTGGGTACCTATTTATTGCTAGGTGGACAAGGGCATTAGGTGATAGGCAATGTGCTAAACCATTTCTGTCCCCGCCCAGGATTCGAACCCAGAATTCTTGATTCTATCACCCAGACCGTGGTACAGTAGTTCGATGCGGCCGGAATCTTACTTTACTCTGTAACGAGGCTGAAGTGTCTTGTGAGAGGAGGAACTAGATTTGTCGCGTGTTACAGTGTTGCTGGTGAATGTCAATGGGTGTTAATTATCTGTGGTATCTCAAGTCTGTAGACAAGTCAAGTCAACCAGGCTGTGACTCGTACGTCAGGCTGCGAGCAGCCGCGTCCAACAGCCTGGTTGATCAGTCCGGCAACCAGGAGGCCTGGTTGACGACCGGGCCGCGGGGACGCTAAGCCCCGGAAGCACCTCAAGGTAACCTCAAGGTGTACTCTTGGAGTTTAGAGTGATGATTTTTTTTTCAGGGATATTCCTGCACAGGCCCTAAGCCTCTGGCTGGCCCACTAAATGATGATGATTCGCTGAGGAGGGTTTATATTACATGATGGTGACTTGTACCTACACTGTACGATGGTGACATTGACTCCCTCAGTGTGAAATATAATATGTGATTAACATGAAGTTCTTAATGAAAAGAAACAAGAACGGATAAAGGAGAAGAGAACGGACAAGCATACCATTTGAGACCTTTGCTTCAGTGCTTCTTGAGGGAAAATGCATGTTTATACATGCCCGAAACGCTTTGCGTAATAGTGGCTTTAGGCATTGTATGTACTATACTAGCTATACCTATAAGTCAAACAATCCTTGTAAATATTTATTGTATGTATGTACCTTACCTAAATAAAATTGTATTGTATTGTATAATTTGACCAACAGTGGAAGCACTGCTGTGGTCAAGTGGCAATATTTGATATTCACGTAATATTTTGGGGTGGAGAATTAACCTCGTGCCTCTGGATTCTGGTAGGTATTGGATGCAGGTTCAACAGTTGTCTTCTCTTGACTGGACGTTCCAGTATGGATATGTCATTTTGTATTACTCTGTAGAGGAGACTTTGTTTTATTGTGTTTGATCTCATCAGTTTTATTGTAATCTAATCTGAGAGATAATTCCTAGTTCCTATTTTTTGAAAATCCGTCTACTCATAGTATTTTAAAGTACAGTACATACCTTTAAGATATTGATATGTATGTTAATATTACTAGATTTGATAATAAATATGGAATATTGACATTCTAATTATTTACTTAAACTCTTAAAGAAAATTAATCTCCCACTTCTCCTCAAGAAATATGGTGGGATACTTAAACCTTCACTATTATGCCCATTCTTTTCTTGTTGCAAGAATATAACCCTTTGTGAGATGTATTAAGAAGGACGAGATCTCCAAACATACGTACCATAGGCATTCATGGTACGTGTCAGATATATTACAGAACTATTTTCCATCGATTCTCAGATTTTATACGTTTCCAAGAAATGCAGTACAGTACTGTATTATGCTTTTGTGGAGAGGTGGGATTTATCATCAAGACTGTAATCTCTGTCCCACATGGACACTATATTGTGTTGGTAGAGTAAAGACAAGAATATTTAAGCAGTCCTCATCGCGCAGTGATAACGAAACGCTGCGCGTGCTAGTGGCTTTACAAGACTGTAATTACCATATTTGTATCCTCACATTCCTTATGTACATTCTTGTATATGCATAAATAAATAAATAAATAAATAAAACACTCGCCTGGCGCTTCACGAGTACTTTGGCCTGGTTTGTATCCTGGCCGGGGAGGATTGACTGGGTGCCAATCCTAAACTGTAGCCTCTATTCACCCAGCAGTGAATGGGTACCTGGTTGTTAAAAGATTTGGCAGTCGTATTCCGGGGAAAATTAGGAACAAGAACCTGCCCGAAATGCTATGCATGCTAGGTTGCTTAACAAGAATGTAAGAACTCTTGAACATATACATAAATAAAAAAAAAATGCCTTCCATACATGTCTGTCTTATGAAGACGCAAGAAGCTCTTTTTCTCGTGTCTTTTCTTAGAATTATGAATACTGTAATTGGGTGATAAATATCCCACAAAATGACAATTATTTTGAAAACCCATATAAGTTCTAAAAAAGTTGAAGCGTAGAGTTATGGAATTCTCAGTATAGGTAAGTGCTTATAGAGCTCTCAGTGTGTGGGTAAGTGGTTATGGAACTCTCAGTATGGGTAAGTGGTTATAGAGCTCTCAGTGTGGGTAAGTGGTTATGGAACTCTCAGTACAGTATGGGTAAGTGGTTATGGAACTCTCAGTATGGGTAAGTGGTTATAGAGCTCTCAATGTGGGTAAGTGGTTATGGAACTCTCAGTGTGAGTAAGTAGTTATGGAACTCTCAGTATAGGTAAGTGGTTATAGAGCTCTCAATGTGGGTAAGTGGTTATGGAACTCTCAGTATGGGTAAGTGGTTATAGAGCTCTCAATATGGGCAGGTGTTTATGGAACTCTCAGTATGGGCAGGTGTTTATGAAACTCTCAGTATGGGCAGGTGTTTATGAAACTCTCAGTATGGTATAAGTGAGTATAAGAAATATTGCCAGAACAACCGTGAACATCTTCAAGAGAAAGCTAGATAGTTTTCTTCAAGAAGTGCCAGACCCACAGGGCTGTGGTGGATATGTGGACCTGCCGGCCACTCCAAGCAACAGCCTGGTGGACCAAACTCTCACAAGTCATGCCTGGCCTCGGGCCGGGCTTGGGGAGTAGAATTCCCAGAACACCATCAAACAGGTATCAAGCACGTATGGGTAAGTGGTTATAGAACTCTCAGTATAGGTGTGCTTATGCAACTCTCAGAGAAGGTGGTAACATTGAAAATGTGTGATGTATTATGCATTTTTAATAATACCATACTTGCTTTAATTGTAATTGCTGACACCCCCCCCCCCCTTTCCATCTGACTAATGCTTAATGAAACTCTTTATTCATTTAATTTCTGGCACAAACTGCATTTGTTTTCTGATCCATTTGTTTCAAAATTCACTAAGAACAACCTTTGCAAAACAACATGAATACTATAGACTACAGTTTGTTTAATGATCCATTGTAATTTCAAGATTCCATACAACAATGAATATACAAAATTATTAAGTGAAAAATTATAATTAATTTCATCTGTCAAGGAACTTGCTCAAACTCACCATTACATGCATCATCCAGATCATTTCTTGCAAATGCAAGAATTTTTTCTGAAACTGCACAAGTGTGGAACTGCATTCTAAAGATGACTTCTCTAGAGGCTGGAATGAGTCTTCTGTGGTAGGCTTTGAGTAGGATATCCCCCCTAAGTTGTACACCCGTTTCAAACACGATGGTGACTTGTCTCATCGTGTCTGCGAGGTTATATATTCCTGATGTGTAGATGGGAGTCATCCCTTGGTATATCTGCAGAAAAGAAAAGCAACATTAAAGGTGTCTTGTCTTAAAACAATGTTGGTATAGTTGTCTTTACTTAAATAAATGCCCTAGTGGAATGTGATAATTATCCACTTGTATTTTTTTATGTTTACACATAATTTGTTGAATATAGGCAATATTACACTACCACAAAGTGTAATATTGCCTTTTAAGCTTCCACAAAGCTTTGTGGGAAGCTTCTGTTGCCAAAGTAAGCTTCCACAAAAATTTGCATATTAGCATTAGCAGTGCAGCATTATATTTAACCAGAAACGTTAACTATGAATTATATTAATGAACTTTCAGTGAAAACTATTGAAGCAGTGAAATCAATACAGTATAGGTTATACTCCTGATGTACTTAATCATTAATATTTATGTTTTCAGCTGTAAACGGGCAGCTTACCAGCTGTATTGATACCAATAATGTTGCTTCAGTTTATATACTGTACCCATCGCCAAAAACATTGATCAGCCATTAAAATCAGTTTTATATAGCAAAGAATCACATCAGAGTTATAATGAGTATTTCCAATAATGTTTAAATTAGCTATTAAAAATTCAGACCAACACCAAATTTTCATTATGTATTGCACAATGTTATATAACTGAGGTAGCCTACAGTATTGGCATATTATCAGTTACAGGATGCTTCACAGTTCCTCTCAATGTCCAGATAACAGGGAAAAATATTGACAGCATTTAAACCAACCCATTCTCACTGTATACAAATGGGTGCAAGAGATTGTTATCAACAGTTGAAAAGGTTTATGCCATATTTCTCTCTTATGGGCTGATGATTTACTATCTGGCTTGGGGTCATGCCATTTCTTGGAGATTGACAGCTCTATTAGCCAGTTTGTCTTCGTAACCCATAGGCCTACATAGCAATCACAGCCAGATTGATCCAGCAACTCTGGCAGAAACTTGTCAAGTTTCTTATTGAATGCTCCAGCATATCTCTTATTCTAATTTCCACTGTCTTCTCCAATTAAGTTTTCAAGACATTACGGCTTTTAAATGGATATATTTTACATTTCTTCTTCAAGATACATGCAGTTAGCATGAGGGGTTTCTTTCCCTGACAACAGTGGTCATGTTGAGATACATGTTACATAGGCATTCTTGTTGTTGCATGAATGTTTTCTCATCTAAGGTAATGTTCAGATCTGCTCCACTTTATGGCAATACCTGGAGCATACCTGGAGAGGATTTCGGGAGTTCTTCTACTTCCTGAGCCCGGCCCGAGGCCAGGTTTGCCTTGTAAGAGCTTGGTCCACCAGGATGTGGCTTGGAGCAGCCCGCAGGCCCACATATCCACCACAGCCTGGTTGGTCCGGCTGTTTTAGCAGGAACTTATCTACATGTGAGGCTGGATGATGTGATGATGGCCCAAGTTGGTAGCTGCTGTTCTTTGTTTTGTGCTAGGTGTACGTTTTATACGTATGGTTATCTGAGTGGTTAAAGGTATGTGAATAGGCTGGATGTGGCCTAGTTTCATGGTTGGCTGGAGATATTTAGCCAATACTCTGACTACTTGGTATGTTACATGTAGTGAGATTCCACCACATCTCCAGTACATTGTAGTTTCATTGTGCAGGTTTGGAACCTGACTTTCCAGTACTGTAGTTCCTTTTTTTTTTTTTGCCAATAAGGGGTCCTGTAGAACTGCACTCGGCTCAAAATCTCTGGACCTAGGTTCAATCTCCAGGCAAGACAGAAACGGTTGGGCACGTTTCCTTTCAACTAATACCTCTCTTCACTTGGGGAATTATGGTGTCAATTTTCATGCTAAAGTACATAGAATATAAGCTTGTCGGTGACAGGAAGCATATTATTAGGCTTTTCGAGGTACCACCTAGGCTGACTACTGACCCTTCTCGGGATGCAACCCACAATAGTTGACTAACTCCTGGGTAGCTATTAACTGTTAGGTGTGCAGAGGCATCCAGTGATAGCAACTAGTCCTACTGTCTCATTTTGGAAGAAAATTGTTCACGGTGGTTCAGTTAACCACCTTGAACATGCAGTGGTTTGCTGAACGCACTAACTGCTGCACTCAGGATATGGATATATATATATATATATATATATATATATATATATATATATATATATATATATATATATATATATATATATATATATATACTGTATATATATATATATATATATATATATATATATATATATATATATATATATATATATATATATATATATATATATATATATATATATATATATAAAACACGTGTTTCTGTAATGAAGAATTACTATATAAATTTCTGCTCAATACACATGTTGTATGTTACGTAAGAAAAAAAGAATCCAAATCAAAGAATGTTCACTTACTTTGATAAAAAGATGGCAGCCTCCTCTGGGTTCAAAGTGAGGGATGCCAAACAAGGTGAGTGTGTGGAGGTACAAAGGACTAGAGTTGATGCGGATCACTCCTGAGAGCAGCCCAGCGAAATACTGTACGTATCTGAGAAAGAAGTTAAGTATTACTATCTTTTATCTCTTAAACACACACACACACACACACACACACACACACACACACACACACACACACACACACACACACACACACACACACACACACACACACACAGACCAAAGAGCCAAAGCTCAACCCCCGCAAGCACGAATAGGTGAGTACACATACCAGGAAGCAGCCTGTAGCAGCTGTCTAACTCCCAGGTACTTATTTACTGCTAGGTGAACAGGGGGCATCAGCGTGAAAGAAACTCTGCCAATTTGTTTCCCGCCTTCGCCGGGGATTAATCCCCGGCCCCTAGGACTACGAATCCCGAGCGCTGTCCACTCAGCCGTCAGGCCCCACTACTCAGCCATCAGCCCCCCCCCCTCCACACACACACACACACACACACACACACACACACACACACACACACACACACACACACACACACAAATGTATATATTTTTAAGATACAAAAACATTTGCAAAACATATTAAAAAAAAATCTGCACAGTTCAATTTCCAGATAATTGAAAATAAAACTTTATTTATGAACGGTAGCTTCTGTAATTAAAACTTTTGTTTTAATTACAACTGCCATTACATCAAAACTGGTGACGTGAATGATTCAAATAAATTATATATACACAAAATAAACACGCAATCACCAAACATACAAATACACGCTGACACACTAATTAGTATGTGCAAGCTTTTAAATCAATTCCAAAGCGTACTAGTTTGAAAGCATATTCCAGTAATGAATAAACTGGCAACACCCCAAGCCCAACCAACACCCCAAACCCAGACCCTAACCCAACCCAACTCCCTCCCCCCCCCAGTCAAACCCAATCTCACCCCCCACACGGACCAAATCCACCACAGCCAAGCCAAGCCATACCCAACACCCTCCCCCCCCCCCTCGTGCCAAACCGAAAACTTCCCCTCCCCTTCCCCCCCCCCCCCCGCACGAAACCCAACCCCCCCAGACAAACCCAACCCCCCAACCCCCGGTGCCAAACTCATCACCCCCTCCACCCTCCCGGCGCCAATTCCCTCCAACAAACCAAATTACCCCCCATCCTTCCCCTCCCGAAGCCGAACCCAACACTCCAACCAAAGGGGGTTGTGTTTGGCGCCAACCCCCCCCCCCCCCACCCTCCCGGCGCCAAACCCATTACTCCACCACCATCCTCCTGGCGCCAAACCCATTACCCCCACCCATCCCCCCTCTCCCGGCGCCAAACCCATCCACCCCCCTCCCCCAGCGCCAACCCCCCACCCCTCCCCCAGCACCAAACCCAACACCCCAGCATACTCTATAACAGCATCAGTTAGCTGCATCTTAACCTCACCTCTTCTGAGACGGATGATACAGCTGACCAATTTTATCATCGAAAAAGCGTTTCATGGCGTATCTATCGAGCGCCTGGTCAGTGGAGGCGCAAATATTACTGTAGTGCATGTAGGCTGCGACCACCACCCCCAGCTTCTCGTAGCCGCCTCTGAAACACCACATAGAAACACTTTTAGTATAACCTTGAAGAAGGAACATTCGTAGAACATGTAGATCGTTCTCCTCCACCACCGTCAGCTTCTCGTAGCCGCTTCTGACGCAGAACAAAGAACATTTTTAGAATAACGAGAACACTCGTAGAGCATGAAATATAAAACACACTCATGAAACAAAAAACACTATAATGAAGCATAAAAAACACTACTGAAACATAAAAACACTATAATGAAACATAAAAAACACTATAATGAAGCATAAAAGCACTATAATGGAGCATAACAGTACAGCATTATAACTAAGCATCAATAGGGCTTACGTGACGACTGTAAAGCATTTCCATAGCTTTAGTTTAGTTCATTTATTATGCACCCTATACCCATCTTGTGGGCGATAGTGGAAAGGGTTACAGAGGCACATAATGGGCTCAGGGACTGAACCCCACAATTCATTTAGCTAAACAAGTTACAATCTTGACGAGTTAGTTACAAAATTCAGTATAAGTCGTCACATCATCAATGGGTTCGAGATCGACCAAACGTATCGTTAAATTGTGATACCGGACTATTGTCTGACATTCAGCAATGCCCTCCGGCAGTGGTAGATCAAACAATATATGACCGCGGGCTTCTAACCTAACTCTGGGCTAAATTTGGTGTTGATTGGATGAAGGGTTAATGATATTTATCAATCACGGGGGGGGGGGGGGATTGGGAGGGAAAGCAAGCCTAGCCTTGGAGGTCAAGAGTCACAGGCTGTTGCCGTTTGATTTTAACATATATATAGACTTGACACTTAACCTATCGTATGGAAAATAATTGAAGTGATTGGATGAAGCTCGTATTTCTGCAGACAATAACGTGGTTGGAGATTAGACGCCCTTCCTCTGCTCTCTTTCCCTGTCCTTCTCTACTCATTTCATCTCCTTCCTCACATCCTCTCCATTTTTCTTCACCTCTCCTTCAATATACCCTCATCTCCCTTTCACCCCTCTCCTTCCCCTCTCATTCTCAGACAATTTAATATTACATTTTTTTATTAAATATATTAGGTACATCTGCATTTGTGCAGCTACCCTAGACCATAATGAAGGGGGTTAATATTACAATTTTTTTTATTAATACATGAGGTACATCTGCATTAGTGCAGCTACCCTAGACTATATGAAGTGGAGTATAGTGTGTCAAAAAAGCTAACTAGGTAATGCTAAAAAATCCCCATCACACAGGATGGTTAGTCATACAGAGGTATGTGATAGGCAGTCTGCACTGGCAGACTCCGGATGCATTTTGAGGTTATCATCAACACAAGAACAGTGGCAATAATAGTCCCCATCTCGCAAGATGGTTAGTCATATAGGGCCATATGTTCAGTAGCCTGCACTGGCAAATTTTGGGTTGTTACGGACCCGAGTCCAGCGTCCGAGCACGGAGCAGTGACGACAACGCCATCTGTGAGTCTGCTCCCGAAACCCCTTCCAAATGGACAGCGCCATCTAGTGAGGACGTGATATATCGGCCACATGTGCTGGATTCCCGTCTTGATCAGCTCGTAATGTAGCCGTTGCTGACCTCTGGTGAGGTGGCGCTTAGACAGCAACGCCATCTATGGAGTGGATAGGTGGACGTTTGTGTCTAAGCCTGTAAGTGAGGTGCCCTAGAGTGTCCCCAACACTAATGACATGTCTGATTACAGAGTCGACCTGGGACTGCTGTATTCAACGATGGGGCAGTCTACCCAAGGCAGCCATAGTCTCTCCACGAGTTTGCTCTGAGGAAGCTGTGAGTCACCCCCGGATGGACACTGTTGAGTGTGTTAGCCTGCCTGTGACGTGGCAGTACCAGGAATTGTTTTATCTGGAGGCTGGCTGGTGGAAGAGACTAGCCACTGTGGTGAGGAGAGTGATCTGCGGAATCACACGAGGCTCCTGCCTAGGGCTCGCAACCCTAGTATCAATCGTGGAGTGGCCTATACAGCGGAGTTGATCGGAACCTGCCAGCTACAGGCTGGATTAGTGGTTGAAGGCCTCCACGACGGTGCACCCAGTGGGACTATGATTTGGCTGGCCTTTGGCCAGGGTAGATTCGCCGAGAGAATCAGAGGATTCATCGTGGGCCACAAAGAAGAGAACTAGGGCTACTCATCTTGAGCACCGTGGAGCATCCTGTGTCTTCAGAGGAAGACTAATTTGTATATAATAAGTGTAGTTATAGCAACCCCGCGTGTGACTGTGATATATTTATGGTGGTGGTAGCAATATATATACAAAAGCAGTGCATTTGTATCCCTTCCCCTTTAATTTAACTTGCGTTACGGAACGCACCCCTTGAAAGCCACTACTAGCTTGGGGCCGGATACCCAAACTCTAATCACATCAGAGAAGAACCCGGTTGCGACCCAATAGGGCCGTAACATGGGTACACTGTGAGGATATCTTCAAGAATACGAGAGTGAATAAAGTAATTGCAAAGCTCCAGGTAGCTCATGCCAACTGGTCTGAAAGGTCTAATAACTGGGCATTCGGTGATGTAGTGCGGGAGATCGTGCCGTAGTTCCTGCTCACAGAGTTTGCAACTGGAGTGCTCAGGATTGGGAGATTCGTCACCTGCCACAGGTAACGGTAACCCAACCTGATCCTTGCAACCACTGTGTCGCACAGTCTGGTGGACGTTTTGTGCTGCCCATGGATATAGGTTTCAGATCTGAACAAATCATAGCTTTTTATACTAGTACTTTCAGGTCGTTGGGAGTCAGTAATTTCTTTCCTATCAGATCTGAGTGTATGGACCAATACAGTTTTGACAGCAGAGATGGGGATACCTAGATCTAATTCAACTTCATCCTTGTTACACGCTAATTTGGCTGCAATGTCGGTCTCATTATGATGGGTTATATTTATGTGTGAAGGTATCCATACAAAGGAGATCAGAGACCCTTTACTCTGTGCAGCAATTAGGTCATTTATAATTGGGAGTATGAGGTTCTTGCTGTCGATCTTCCAAGAGAAGTTTTCGATTGCTTGAAGAGCAGACTTTGAATCACAAAATATTTTTCCTCCAATGTTTTTTAATGTACTGGTAGCTAGTTGTAATGCTGCTAGTTCTGCTTGTGTGGAGGTCAGCCAGTTGTTTAACTTGACACTGACAGTCTTTATGCAAATATTATTTCTATAAAACCTACATGCCGCTGCAGTCCGTCCAGTAGAAGATTGGACTGAGCCGTCGGTGAAGACACAGTACTCGTGAGATCTTAAACTCTCGATGGAGGAGGCAATTGTTTCAAGTGTGACAGCTTTGAGAAGAGCAAGATTCTCATTATCTTTCTTGGTGACAGGTGTGTATGATACTTGAATGGTGGGGTACAGATAAAGAGGAATATCAGAGACAAGTAGACTGCACTTAAAAGGAATGTTGAGTTTAATTAGATTGTAAGCATTGTTGCTCAGCCATTTATCATAAAAGGAGTGAGTTGGTATGTCGGCACCAGTCAAAAGGGTGTTAACAGCACTAAATAATTTGTCTGAGCAATGCAGGAGATGTAGGGTCTCTCATGACTTTAAGGCAAGAGGTAGTGTTGACTTGCATTATTCTCTCTAGTATGGTTGGAAGCTTCAGTTCTTCCCTCATGTTGATGATTCTTGTGCATCTTGGAGCACCAAGAATTATCCTCATGGCCTCATTCTGTACTACTTCAAGTTTGTCCAACACAGAAGAGGGGAAATTAATTAAGTGCAGAGCATTATAATCAACGAGAGATCTAACAAACATCATATAGAATAGTCTAGCATATTTAATATTGATACCAATATTCTTACCAGTAAGTGTTCTCAATGGTTTTAGTCTTTCTTTTAACCTACGGTGTAGATCATTTACAATGTCACTGTTAATACCAACTCCAAGGTATTTGTGCTGCCTACACGTTTCAGTGTTCTGGTTGTTGACCTTGAAAGTTATAGGGACATGAGTTTTCTCTTTGGGATGGAGAACTCTGGATTTAGTTATAGAGATAACAAGACCACATCCAATGTTTTTAGCAGCGAGTGAATCAAGTAGAGCTTGCAGTCTAGTTTGGGAATCTGCAACAATGCATATATCATCGGCATAACAAATGACGACTTCGGCAGGTTGTGTGGGAATATCAATTGTTAATTTGTGCATCAGAACATTGAACAGTGTAGGACTTAGCACTCCACCCTGGGGTGTACCTAACACAAAGGGTGCACAAAGCTTACTTTTGACCCCCCTTGAAAAGGACTGAGGCGGTTCTGTTACTCAGGTACCCCCTGAGCCATGTCAACAGTCTTCCCTTAACTCCGAAAGAGGCTAATATTACAAAGCCCTGAAAAACACGCAGCACTCTACGGAAAACACACTCCGTATTTCGGTTCATGAAAATTGCATGGGGCATTTCAGTTGCCAATATTTCTTAAAAAATGGCACTTGGAGGGAACTGACTCTGACTGGCCTATGACACCCTCATACCATCCATGTGTCATCTTGGACAGTTGGGCGAGGCCAACTCCAAGCAACTTGCCTCCCACTTCGGGTAAACATTAAAGATGAGGATTGGTTGAGTCTGTCATAATGTAACGTATTAGATGAGAAAAGGACGCCGTGGCATGTCTGCAATGCAATGCGTTGACCTTTGACCTGTCGAGCTACAAGGTTCTATATGCAGTAGCGTCCAAGGCCTATTAATGACATTACACCTCTAAGACATCGTGTGTGTGTATATATGTGTATATATGTGTATATATATATATGTGTGTATATATATATATATATATATATATATATATATATATATATATATATATATACACAAATACATTTTATCTCAGTTTCATTAGGTCAGCTCAAATCACATTTATTTAATAAGGAGTAGCGATGACGTAGAAAGGGGGGAGGGGGAATTGTAGTCTATATTTCTCAGGTCTTGGACCCTAATCTCCATTTGTGCCTCTTACCTGTCTTTATCAACCGGGGTCCTGGGAGCTCAACCGAAATTAACCTAAATAAACATCACAGAATATGTGTCTATGGAGACATGCTTACAAAAGTTATGGGTTTCTAGCTACAGGAGAAACTTGTCCACACGTCAGGGCGGGAGGAAGGGATACTCACCCAGCACGCAGGCACTCACCCTGCACGCAGGCACTCACCCTGCACGCAGGCACTCACCCTGCACGCAGGCACTCACCCTGCACGCAGGCACTCACCCTGCACGCAGGCACTCACCCTGCACGCAGGCACTCACCCTGCACGCAGGCACTCACCCTGCACGCAGGCACTCACCCTGCACGCAGGCACTCACCCAGCACGCAGGCACTCACCCTGCACGCAGGCACTCACCCTGCACGCAGGCACTCACCCTGCACGCAGGCACTCACCCTGCACGCAGGCACTCACCCTGCACGCAGGCACTCACCCTGCACGCAGGCACTCACCCTGCACGCAGGCACTCACCCAGCACGCAGGCACTCACCCTGCACGCAGGCACTCACCCTGCACGCAGGCACTCACCCTGCACGCAGGCACTCACCCTGCACGCAGGCACTCACCCTGCACGCAGGCACTCACCCTGCACGCAGGCACTCACCCTGCACGCAGGCACTCACCCTGCACGCAGGCACTCACCCTGCACGCAGGCACTCACCCTGCACGCAGGCACTCACCCTGCACGCAGGCACTCACCCTGCACGCAGGCACTCACCCTGCACCCAGGCACTCACCCTGCACGCAGGCACTCACCCTGCACGCAGGCACTCACCCTGCACGCAGGCACTCACCCTGCACGCAGGCACTCACCCTGCACGCAGGCACTCACCCTGCACGCAGGCACTCACCCTGCACGCAGGCACTCACCCTGCACGCAGGCACTCACCCTGCACGCAGGCACTCACCCTGCACGCAGGCACTCACCCTGCACGCAGGCACTCACCCTGCACGCAGGCACTCACCCTGCACGCAGGCACTCACCCTGCACGCAGGCACTCACCCTGCACGCAGGCACTCACCTAGCATGGAGGACAGCGACGTGCTGGGGATGCTGGGTAATCCAGGAGTCAAGAGCCTTGCAGATGGAGCAGAGCCTCTCAAGAGCCGGAGCCAGCTGGTCTGCCCAGCCTAACTCCAACACCCGCGGTAGGAAATGGCTCACCTCCCCCTGGCCGGAAAGGTTAAACACCTGAGGGAGGAGAAAAACGGAAATTAAAACCCTCTAAAACACCTGAAGAAGTAGGGCAAGACATGCTAAAACCAATCGAACACACGCAGGAGGAAAATATATTAGAATTTCTAAAACATCTGAAGGAGTAGGAGGATGGCTCTTAAACACATGAAGAAGAACAGAATTACAACTTCTTGAACATCTTAGAACGGAAATTAACATGAAAAAAACGCTCGCAACTGTTGGTAGGAAATAAAACAATATCAAACAGATGTTGAATACACAAAGACGCAAACATTAAACACCTGTCAAGATTCTCATGGCCGAAGATAACTGACATGTGAAGAAACAAACACCTGTACTATTAAAGCTACTTCAGAAAAAAAAACACCTCGTGAACACCTGCAAGGTTTTTAACGCGAAAACACGTGTATAGTTGAACACTTGTCCTAGACAACTTCAAAAAGTTGAATGAAGAAATAGGTATATTTCTAGAGGCTGGAAAAATAGGTATATTTCACTTCATTACCACTTAATTTTAACATAAGGAATTTTAACACTTTCAAATATAATTATCAACTAAACCTCGTTACCAATTTCCAATTAAAGACTTATCAATTAAATAATAACCAATTAGACCATTATCAATTAAACCAAAACCAAATTAATCATTACCAATTTAATTATTATAAATTAAGTATTTAAACAAGTGACTAAACACGCACATATGTAGATTCATATAGTCACATGTAGAAGAATAACACGATAAATGACACACACACACACACCTGACATTTAAGCCATTTATGCGACTGAAGTTGACGCCTAATATGTTGCAAAATAAGCCTATTGGATCCTAAAAATGGAAAAAAAAGCCAATTCGTACATAAACAAGCCTTTGGTACCTTTAGAAAAAAAGCTCATTGGCACCTAAAATAACAAAAGCCCAATGGTACACAGAAAGAAAGAAAATCCCATTGACATCTAAATAAAAAAGCCTATTGGAGCAAAGAAATAAAGTCCTTTGGTACCTTAAAAATAAGAACAAAAGTCTATGTTCGTTGCTTTTATATTGTCCTTATACGATTTGTTGTTGATTATTATGCCTTGCATCTTGCTAATTTTCCTCCTGAATAATTACAAGGCCTTGATTTAGTACCAAATGATGCGATGCGCATCATCCACTACGGGCTCACCATAGCCCGTGCTACTTGGAACTTTAAGTTTCAAGTAGTTGAATCTATAACAACAACAACAACAGCAGCGCATCATCCTGGGTTGTCCCAGAACTGTCAGAATAAGACTATCCAGCATTTAGAAGAGAATCGTTCTACTTAATATGTTTTGTGCAATGTTGAAAAATAATGGTCCGAGAGCACTATTCAAATTCAACTGAGATCCATTCTAGAACAACTCTGTTTCCTCAAATTTCCACGAAAAACTAATGACAATGTGTCTATTAATCCTAATAAAATGGATAACTATAGTCTCCCTTGGAAAGATGTCCAAGTCTCTATACACCCATCAGTTTAACTCAAACCTGTAACACAAACTAAGAGATGTATAACTAGAAGCTACTGAGAGTCATCTTCAAAATCTCAAACTAACTGAATCCTATGCCTTTACTGTTGACTGTGCAGTGTGGCACAGGCAGAGCAGGTTGTGCATGTGCAGTATATAACGCAAATGAAATTATTATGTCTGGTACACAGAGACTGAGCCACTGGGCAAGCACGACACAGACTAAGCTATTGGGTATTTATCTAACCACTGAGTACCTTAAACTCAATCGGGGCGGAGTGTTATTTTCTGGTTTAAATTGCCCTGCAGTCTGTAAGTGACCCATCACACTTAATGTCTGAAGTAGCTTGTAATAGTAAATGGTATGTGTTTAATGTCAATGATAATAACTTATATAAAATTTGTGTGGATCCCATCCCATGTTGGAGTTTGAAAGCTTAACTTTGTAGATCGATTAGCCAATGAGGCTTGCGGGCAAGACTCACAAACTATGACTTTGGACCATCTAAGGCAGTTATTAGAAACATACAAATTAAAGAGATTATTTCAAATCTGGAAGAACCAAGTAATGTCCTAAGATCTGAAAGCTGCAGTATTTAAAGCTAAAGATATTTTGTTTGGTCAGCACAGTAACCGGACCAGACAATGTGATGTAGTCATTGCGGTAATTCGCCTTGGCTATAGACACATCTGGCAGGTTAGTGAGGCTGAGCCACTACCAGAATATTCAGATTGTAAACTCTCTGACAAAATATTAACTCATTCACTTGAATACTACATTAATGAACGTGAAATTATAAGAGATTTTAGACCTTCTAGCCTATTGCACAATCAAATATGGAATAATTTCATTGAATCTGAAATATTGGAAGACATCCTAACAATTTATTCTAATTTTGATTTTTTTAAATAATGAGGAACGAGAATTTTATTTATTATTATTATTATTATTATTATTATTATTATTATTATTATTATTATTTAAGCTGCATATCTCATGAATCCAGCCTGCCTGTGTGGCAGTGAATGATAGAAAGTTGCATTTACAAATTCGTAAACTAAAACATGTATAATAACCGATGTAGTAGGGTCTCCGTGGTGTAGTGGTAAGACATTCGCCTGGCGTTCCGCGAGCGCTATGTCATGGGTTCGTATCCTGGCCGGGGAGGATTTACTGGGCGCAATTCCTTAACTGTAGCCTCTGTTTAACGCAACAGTAAAATGTGTACTTGAATGAAAAAACTATTCTTCGCGGCAGGGGATCGTATTCAAGGGACCATAGGATTAAGGACTTGCCCGAAACGCTACGCGTACTAGTGGCTGTACAAGAATGTAACAACTCTTGTATATATCTCAAAAAGGATGTAACGTCATGAAACATGTATGTGATTCAATCACACACCCACACCCACACACACACCCACACCCACCCCAAACCCCCCCCCCCCCCACACACACAGGGGGCCTGGTAGCCTGGTGGATAGCGCGCAGGACTCGTAATTCTGTGGTGCGGGTTCAATTCCCGCACGAGGCAGAAACAAATGGGCAAAGTTTCTTTCACCCTATGCCCCTGTTACCTAGCAGTAAATAGGTACCTGGGAGTTAGTCAGCTGTCACGGGCTGCTTCCTGGTGTGTGTGTGTGTGGTGTAGAAAAAAAAAAAGTAGTTAGCAAACAGTTAATTGACAGTTGTGAGGCAGGCCGAAAGAGCAAAGCTCAACCCCCGCAAACACAACTAGGTGAACACACATACACACACCCACCCACCCCCATACACACACACCCACACACACACACACACCCACACACAAACACACAGTGGGAGGAAGGAATTAGAGGAAAGACAGTCCAAGATATGATAGACCTAGTCATACTTAGAAATGCCAGGAGGCCGAAGAGAGATTTATACCAACAGTAAAAAGAAAAAAATAAGAGGGAATATAATAACCCATGGTTTAATAGACAGTGTCAGGAAGCAAAAATGGCCACCAGGCGGGAGTGGAGGAAGTACAGAGGACAACAGAGCTAGGAACGATTACATTAACATAAGACGAACATCGGAAAGGTACTATGAGAACGATATTGCAATCAAAGCGAAAAAGCAACCTAAGTTACTTCACAGCTATATAAGAAGAAAAATGTCGGTGAACGACCAAGTGACAAGACTAAGGAAAACAGAGGGGGCATATACTGAAAGTGACAAGGAAATCTGCGAGGCACTGAATGCCAGTTTCCATGGAGTGTTCACTACCGAGCCTGAGCAGCTCCCATTGTTGGAAGGGGTTACCCTAGATGAAAGACTATTATCAGATATAGAGGTGACAGCAGAGGAGGTAATGAAACAGTTGACAACTCTAGATGCAACTAAAGCAGTTGGACCAGACAAAGTATCACCGTGGATACTAAAGGAAGCAGCGCAGGCCCTCAGCGTGCCTCTGGCAATGATCTTTAATGAGTCACTTATGTCGGGAGAATTGCCCAGTTGCTGGAAGAAGGCAAATGTCGTGCCGATCTTCAAGAAAGGTGATAGGGAGGAGGCACTTAACTATAGACCTGTATCACTGACAAGCATCCCCTGTAAAATACTGGAAAGAATAATTAGGCTACGACTGGTTGCACACCTGGAGAACATTAGGTTTGTGAACAAACATCAACATGGGTTCTGGAAAGGGAAATCGTGCCTAACCTTCTGGAATTCTATGATAAAATAACGAGGATAAGACAGGACAGAGATGGTTGGGCGGACTGCATATTTCTGGACTGCCAAAAAGCCTTTGATACAGTACCGCACATGAGACTGCTGTTCAAACTCGAGAGGCAGGCGGGGGTGGGGGGAAAGGTCCTAGCATGGATAAGGAACTACCTAACAGGAAGGAACCAAAGAGTTACGGTAAGGGGCGAGAAGTCGGACTGGCGAACAGTAACAAGTGGAGTACCACAAGGATCGGTGCTGGGACCAATTCTGTTTCTAGTATATGTTAACGACATGTTTACAGGAGTAGAGTCCTACATGTCGATGTTTACGGATGAAGCAAAGTTGATGAGAAGAGTTGTGATAAATGAGGATTGCAGGATCCTCCAAGAGGACCTGAACAGGTTGCAGAGATCTTGAGGTTATCTTGAGATGATTTCGGGGCTTTTAGTGTCCCCGCGGCCCGGTCCTCGACCAGGCCTCCACCCCCAGGAAGCAGCCCGTGACAGCTGGCTAACACCCAGGTACCTATTTTACTGCTAGGTAACAGGGGCATAGGGTGAAAGAAACTCTACCCATTGTTTCTCGCCGGCGCCTGGGATCGAACCCAGGACCACAGGATTACAAGTCCCGCGTGCTGCCCGCTCGGCCGACCGGCTCCCTAAAGATGGGAGCTTTCAGAGAATGGTCAGAGAAATGGTTACTGGAATTCAACACGAGCAAATGTAAAGTTATGGAAATGGGACTAGGAGATAGGAGACCAAAGGGACAGTACACAATGAAGGGGAATAGCCTACCTGTAACGA